GCTGGGCTGGGTGTGCGTCACACAGTGACTGGGTGGCTCCTGCCCAGATTTAGACTATTTGGGTGCCTGGTTTTAGGCACTCCTGCAGGCACCAGAGGGAAACGGGCACTCCTTGCTGCATACCGACTAATTAAAACAGAGCAGCCAACTCAAGTCCTACTTGTTCTTTCCTACTTATATCCCTTCCTCTCAGACCGCAGCCCTAGTTTGTAGCCTGGATCTGTTGGTGTTTGCACTGCAGATGCCTGCATTTAGGGCAATTTAATGTGCATTGGGGTGGGCACATTAGGGGGAAAAGATGCTTGAAAAGTGTGGATGTGGTCCATAAAAGTGGTGTGGAATGACACCCGTAGGAACCAGGATCTAAAGAAAGGCTGTGGTCTGTCCTGCAGCAGGCAGTGGAGCAGTACTTCTCACCTGGCTTTGTTCAAGGAGAGTCCAGAGAAGTTCAGAAGACAAGTCCGTTGAGAGCTACTACTTATTTAGAAGCAACATCTGGTTCAGTAAGTCCTTGAGATGAACTGGTCGCAAGCTGGAAGGATCTTCTGGCTGTTTCTATGCACTTCTGAACACGTGGCTCACCAGATACCAAGTTTAATGCAGTGCTGCTGCTCTGTAGGTGCTCAGGCCCAAGAGCTACCCAAACAACTGCCCCAGTGTTGCGTTACCCCACAGTATGTATACACACACACATGGGAAAGAACCTGGAAAGCTCTTGAGGCAGTTGCCTACAGCCCAGGTAGGGATGCCATTTGGCCCATCATGTTTTGGTTTTTCTTGTCGGAGAGTTAGAAAACAGGAGCTGAAACTCAGCAGCCAAAACCTCCTCCTTGGCTGGGCAAGAGGCACGAGAGAGTGCTGACAGTAAAGGGAAGAATTTTTTTGCCAAAAATTGTCAGACATACACCCTTCCATTTTGTGCATCACAACTATTTTCTCTACAGAAAACACCTAAAAAACAGAAAACACTTAAATGGGCAGAACATCTAGAACCTCAGCCTGTTTCAAAGACTATTGAAATCACCCAAAGACCTGTCAATTTATTTTGAGCTGAACAGGGATATAAATAATGCTATGACATTCAGTCTGGAGAAGAGAAGGCTCCGGGGAGATCTTATTGTGGCCTTCTGGTACCCTTCTGGTACCTAAAGGGGGCCTACAGGAGAGCTGGGCAAAGGACTTTTTACAAGGGCATGTAGTGATAGGATGAGGGGGAATGGCTTCAAACTGGAAGAGGGGAGATCTAGAATAGATACCAGAAACAAATTTTTCACTGTGAGGGTGGTGAGGCACTGGAACAGGTTGCCCAGAGAAGCTGTGGCTGCCCCATCCCTGGAGGGGTTCAAGGCCAGGTTGGATGGGGCTTTGAGCAACCTGGTCTGGGGGGAGGTGTCCCTGCCCATGACAGGGGGGTTGGAACTCGATGATCTTCAAGGTCCTTTCCAACCTAAACCATTGTATGATTCTATGATTAAATAAGACTAAAACAACTGTGGAAACACACAAGGCTACTAGATATACACAAGAATTTGCTTGAGTGTCGGGTGCCGTATGATATTAGTGCTCTGACGTGTTAAGCTGCTGAATCATGACTGCTTATGACATAGATATTGCTAGGTGGGATTTCTTTCTTGGAGCCTCGGTGTTGCCACTTCCATGCCCGCCCTCTGTTGAACTTCAGTGGAGAATCAAACGCAAAAGGCTAAGGGTTGGGGCTTTGGTCTACCTTGGAAAATAATGTGCTTTTAACTGTAAAAAATTAAAATCTATGATACAGCACAGGTTAGGACCAAATAAATCAAATTAATGTTTTACGTTTTCCACCCTAATCTGTCACGTCACAAGTTTGACTAGTTCAACAATCCCCGTTCAGATTTAACAGTGTAGAGCTCTTACTTAGGTAAAACTGTAACAAAAAGAAAAAGGCTAGAGAACAGTCCTTTGAGGAGGATTTAAGCTGGTAAGTACATTACAGAGAAATCAGAAGATGGTCTGATGGAGAGGAACAGAATGCAGTGGTGTGTTACAGTAGAGGCACCTGCTGAGACGAGAACTGCAGTTACACAATAAAATGACGGAGTTTGATATTCAGCGCTTTTTCTTTAGTCAGTAAATCCATACTGTGCTTTCTGTAAGCGTCGAACTGCAGCGAGAGCTCGTTGTATGCCTGCTTGCTGCTTTTGAGCTGTTGTTGGAGCTCTTGGACCTTCAGATCATTGTCCACTGCTGCTGCCTCTTTCACGAGGTGCTTTCCTGCTCTCTGCTTGGCTTTTTGCGCAGTCTCCAGCTTCTTCCCCAGCTGCTCGATTTCCCGTTGCTTATCTTGCAGAGCTTTGCCCCGCTCCATGGCCAGGTTCAGTAGTTGCTCTTTTTCCTCGTTGGCCCTCTCCAGCTTGGCCTGGAGCTCGCTGCCCTGAGCCCGCTGCTGACTCTCTGCGTGCTGTAGCTGCACAACAGTTTGTTGGTGCTTCTCCTGTAGGCATTGCAGCTGGTTTTTTAGTGAATCGACTTCCCAGGCATAGGCACTTGTTTTCTGGCTCTGAGCTTCCAGCAGCTCCTTTTCTCTCTCCTGGGCTCTGCAACTCTCAGAAGCACATTTCTTCTGGAGGGAGTCTAACTGCTGCGAGAGCTTTCTGGCCTGGGCAGCGAGCTGGAGCACGTCAGCTTCCTTCTCCCTCACTGTATGGCTGAAGAGCACTTCGTTCTCCTGCCGCAGGCGCTTGTTCTCCTCCAGCAGCTGCACATGACGTTTCCTATGTTCGTTCTTGAACTGGATCATTTTTTCATGATTGTTGGCCAGATCCATGAAGCGCTCCTCCAACTGCTGGATCCGTTGGCTCTGGGTTTTCATTTTCACTGCATCCTCTGTCCTCAGTTTCTCCAGCTCCATGTTGAGCTGCTCCAGGTCTCTGCAGCGTTTGCGTGCATCATCTGCTTTTTTCTTCAGTATACAGATAAGGTGATGCTGCTGTTCTAGGCGCGAATGCAGCAGGACTTTCTCACTGCTCTTCTCTTCGGGGCTCTCATGGAGTTCCTCCAGGTCTTTTGGCAGATCTTCCATGTCTTTGCCCATCTCTGGATCACCTGAGTTGACCATCCCTGCCTCTCTCTCATCCTGAGCCATGGAGCCCCTGTCTCACACAAAGAGAAGATAAAATTTTATAGTGACCGCTTCTCTTAGTGACATTCAGCATAATTAAACAGTACCCAACGGCTGTATGGCCAACACCACTGCAATAAGCTGGTGGAGTGTCTCTGGAAGTCCAGAGGAGACCAGTGTGAGGGGACAGGAGCTCCTGGAACCATGGGCAGCCTGTAGCCCTCCCCGCCTGCTTCAGCCAGGCAGACTGAGGAGAAGGGTGCCAGGCTCGATGATGCAGGAGCAAAGAATGTAGGCTTAGTATTTATGCGAGCCTATTCATTTGCTGATTACTAGCTTTGCTAATTATTCTTTCTCAAAGCACTGTTGTTGTAGCTACAAGAAGTACTATTATATTTAGGTAAAAAGCTTGTAAGCAGTAAAGCTGTAAATAATTCCTTAAGCAATCCTTTTCCTCCGCCTTTGTTTTCTCCTTCAGATCTGCTATTATAAATGCAAGTAAAACATGTTACATCAAACTTCTAATTGATTTTTTAGATTTTAACAGTATATTGCTCATTAAAAATAACTGAATAGCCTCATCCCATGATTAGCGATTTATGAATAAAATAAAAGATCTATACAATGCTCATAATTATTGAATGCCCTGTGGTACGAAGGCTTTCTGCCCGGAGGAATGGTTCATCATTTGACACTCATTTTGCTGCATTATTTTAGGCATGTAATTTCAAAAGTTTGGTTCCTTGTGTAAAATAAGGGAAAAATAAATATTACATTGGCACCAGGATCATTATTGGTGCCTAATCATACGGCACGCCACCCACACGTATGAAAAGTTAGCCTAAAACGGATCTGCAAGTTTTCCATTCAGGCACGGACCTGGAACTACACAGCACATGAAACAGCACGCTGACAGTCAGGTTTTGCGAATCCCTGGGCTTTGACTGGACGTGGGAAGGAGCCAGCTTAAAGGAAGGACAAAAAACAACGTACAACCGAAATAAGCTAACGCGTGTGAAGCCTGGGCAGCCTCAGAGCTGCACAGCGCTGACCGTCGGTAGGGACGCTAACCCTGTCTCCACCGTCCTGCACTCCCCCACCGCTGTTGCTCCCTTGGATCCCCCCAAAACATTTGGAAATAATGGAGGAGAGGAGGAAGGACTAAAAAGTTCAGGCCATCCAGTGGAGACACAATGAAGAGCAGCTTTTAAGAGGAGAAAAATGTTTTCTTACCAGGTGTTTTCTTTCCCCTGACCGTTTGTTGCCACTCCTGCTGTGGGGTTTCTGTCTCCATGGAGATAAGAGGCTGATCCCATCACCCCAGAGCTCGTGCCTTCATCCAGGCCAGCTGGGACTGGGCTACCCCACAAGAGAGCAGCCGGAAGAGCTGGGAGCGTTTCTTAGCAAACAAACACTGCTGACGCTCCCAGAAGTGCCCAGATTTGGTGGACAATTTCCAGAAGTCTCTCTGGGCTCACACCTTGCATGTGCCAGAGGAGATCAGAATAGTGGGCCCCAACCTCCTCAGAATGTGCTGAAGGTCTGCGGTAAGTAAAGACACAGCCCTTGCCCTGAACAACCTGCAGCTTTATTCAGTAGTTAGTGAAGAATCTGGCAGATAGGATTGGGAAGGGGAAAAAAAAATTGGAGCTGTAAGAAAAAAAAAAAAGTCAGATGCGGGTTTCGCTGACTCCACTGGAAAAGGATATGAAGCAAAGAGGAATGAGTGATGTGGGTAAAGGATTTGAAGCCAAGAAGACAATGAGGGCGCAGTACCAGATCCTTCAAAATGGGTGAAATCAAAGTGATGTGAGTCACCGCACCGGCTCAGGCTTATGCAGAAATGGTAGGTAGGAAAAGGAATGGGAGGGTTCCGAACATGGAGCATGAAAGGAGAGCTGCAACTTTGAAGCCTGGTTTATAGGAAGTAAAGATGGTGTAATTTAGAACACACACGCATATAGATGTATGTGTACCAAAAATACGCCATTCCAGCCTAAAGCAAAGATGAGCTTGTGAAGTGAACGCGCAGGGGGAAGTGGTGTGTTTCTCCCGTTTGTTTGTCTGGGCAAGGAAGAATATACATAAAGACATTTTAGCAGTATGGCTGCTGTGTCATAAAGGCGAATGGGAATTAAGAATCAAAGCAAAACTATTAATTTATCAAACTGCCCTTTAGTGAGTAACTAACTATACACCTTTAAAGTTTTGGTTATGGAGGACTAAAACCTTTCCTTTTGACTGTAGAGCGAAGAAACTAGTTTCTTAAAACCTTTTGTCCTAATCGACTCCTTAAACTTGCATTTCTCTATCAGCATATTATCGATCTGGAAGCTACTGCTGTAAGTAGGAATGACTAGGAATTTGGTGGAAAGCTGTATTTTTTACATAAACCATGTTCAGAGGAATGTCAAAAAATACCAGTAACTTTTTTAAATAAGTACATTTTGCATTACTTTAGGTGGATGTTTTCAATACAGAATCCCTGCTGTTTTACATGATTAGATGCAGCCATTACCTTCAAGCACTTCTTTTAATAAATCAACATAATATCCTTTAGCGGGAGGTGAAATTGTAATGTTTCTACTCTATAATTAAATCCTACAGCATGAATAGGGTGATCAAAGTACTTTTTCCACGGATAAAGCAGCTTGGTTTGTAATTTTACCTTCTACTGAAGTTCATCTCACCAGGACAGCTTTGACTTTTCTTGTGTATGACAATAGTAAAAAAAAAAAAAAAGTAAAAAGATAAGCACAGGTGCTAAAGCTCTGTTAAAAATCTTTAAGATCTATAGCTTGATGCAGACTCACCATGATAACAATAACTTTAAAATATCAAGTGTTGTTAAGCGCTGGTATACTTTTCACAGACACCACTGTAACTGCCTCCACTGACCTCCGGTAAAATTGGAAGCACGAGGAAGACTCACTGGCGTGTGGTGACAGCTATCCTTATAGGTTTACCTGTAGTAGTCTCCACTTTCTGCATATGCTGAAAAAAAGGTATTAAGAACTAGGGAGGAAATCTGAATTTTTGTACTAAAGGGCCCATTTTTGTTACTTGTCTCAGTTTCTGGATTAATCTAGATGAGTACATAATACTGCTGTGCCATTAGTTAATAACACTAATTACAAGTGCAGTGCAGAAGTAAATCTTATTATGTTCATGTTCAGGTAGGTTTTTGAAATTTAAACCTAGTTTTGATCCCTTCTGTGTAGCAGTAAGCAGCGTCTTCTGAGATACTGACAAAGTGCTGTGTCTGGCTCCTAGGATGGTTCGAGAGCAGTGAGACAGAAGATGTTCTACTTTGCCAAAAGACAAAGAGATGGACACTGTCACAAACCAAATGTTTGATTTTGATGCCAGTCAAGTTTACACTGTACAAAATTTTGATAGTTAGAAGACAGCAGATTGCCTGCAGATCTAGAGCCCCCGACCCCACCATCCCTACGGCTGAAGTCCCAAAGCCGTTTTGACACAGCAATATGCATTTAAGCTTTGCAGAAAATGCAACAACCACCAAAAAACTTTAAACCCGTGAAGTTGTAGGTCGTGTTCACAGCAACCTACTTTTTCAGGGGAAAAGGGATTCCTATAGGCAGTGAATACAAGTAAACGAGGTGCCTCTCTGCTTTTCCAGACTCACCACCCTTTCCGAGGTGGCTGTTTAAGAATACTGTACCATTGAAGTACAAATACCTTGTTCCAAAGCACAATATGCACACTGTTCCCCAGTCACACAAGAATAACGTTGTGTACGTATCTGGCAAAGCGGAATCTGCAGAAGCACTGGCAGCAGTAAGGTATCAAGCCTGACAACTGCTTTTGGCATCGGTAATCTCCCCAGGCTGCCTGGCTGATGAGAGAGAAAGCGGGTTCCCCAGCAGGTTGAATAGCACCTTTCCTTTTTTCCATTCATAGTGTATAATAAATACTGAGGAGCTTTTAAATGTCTGTGATTAAATTAAGCGACTGAGTTGGAGCTGGGAGGACCCCCCTTCTCTCTGCTCTGAGGTGCAAGATTTCACCAGCTGTTAGACCTACACACTTGGAGCAAATAAACACGCATTTATTGTCTGAAATGTTCTGTCTGCATATTGTTATATCGCATGCTGAATTGCTAACATAAGCACTGCATTTTAATAAACAACGAATTCCTATTTAGCTTTAATAGGCCGCTTTTATTTAAAAAAAAAAAAGCAATACATTTTGTATTTTATGCATTTTATCTATCTTTAGTAGCATGCATTTCTACAGGTTACGCATCCCAGTCTTATTTGCTATGGTGCAAAGCCCGCGCCACCACCACCACCGCCATCCCAGCGTTCTCCTGACGGTGGCGCTGAAGCACAGATAAATTATTTCCTGCAAAAAACCCCAAGCTGATAGATAGGGTACAGGCGCAGTACGCTTTACAGAATAAATAGCCAACACGTTTGTCATCGCTAAAATTGGCAGGTTTAGATTCTTTAGAGTAGCATTTGAATAAAAAAAAAGTTTGCCCCCTATGCCTTCAGCATTTAAGGGTGAGGTTCGTATACGAGCAAGACAACACATATAAGCAAACTTTTCATTACCCTGATTTCTTATAGTACATTGGAATGAAGTCCTCTGCACCTCACAGAATAGGACACCCACAGTACCACTTCATGTAATGCCTCTTTCCTTATAGAAGTGACTTTCATATCTTAGAATGTACAACTACACATAAAGGAACTTTCAAAAAAAAAAAAATATTCTTCATGCTCATACTCCTTGCTGGAGAGATCTGACAGGCTGTAACGAGGATACAGACACTGACTAATAAGCGTGAAGGCAATGCACCCTGCTATCTTATTACTAATGCTCCATGAGCAATCCGAGCAGTATACAGAAAGAGTTGACTTGTGCATTTTTGGGGGTTTTTTTGTTGTTTTTTTTCCCCTGTAATTTAGATTTATATATGGGATCAGCAATGCTTCTGTTCTCCAGAACAAGCCTCCAGGTATCACAGCTCTGCCACTGAATTCTGTAAGTGCCTT